CTTCAAAATCTAAGGAACTGGTTTGGACAAAACTCAGCAGCACTTGTTTGTGCCGCTGCTGATAAAAACAGGATTGCCAACATGATCGCCAATGTCCGATAACAGATATGGCACAACAACAAGAAGAATGCCCAAATTAAGCAGCTTTTTAAAATCTTGCAATAGATTTTCATATTTCTGAGTGAAATGTGAGGCTCTTGCTCACAATCATAGGATGGGATGGCTGAAATAGTTAATTTTAAAAGATTGCTAAATGCTGATCCATAGATAAACTAAAGGGGAAGAGCATATATTCTTTAGATGATATCAGGAAACTGCCAGCTAGCTGGAAGGTGCAGGAGGTGGGGTGGGAGGTGTCAATCGAGGGCTTAGCTTAGAGTCCTTGAGTAGCTGCAAGACATGTACACTTAACCCCCTCAAGATAAAGATAAAGATCCATAAAGCTTTATATGGGCTTTCCCAGGGGAAACAAGCACTCTGGGGAGATTCTTGTAACATAGAGAATAATAAAGTTGCCTACTTAAGCTATTTACTGTATGACTCTAGCTACTGCACCTTACAGATGTATTTGTTTGAGGCCCTTGCAAATCTGATAATTATTGGAACATACTGCACATTTCAAGCCAGAGGGCATAGGAAGGATAATATGTACCACTTTGTATATGTCCTATCATTTTTTTTTCCCTGATGGAAGCAATCATGGTGTCTCTTCTGGAGTTGCTGAAGGAAACACTTGATCCAAATGAAAATGTTCTGAAGGAATTTCTTTCTGATTTAGGGTTTGATTTCTTGACTCCATTCCTGATACTCTCAAATGCTCATAGCCACCTTATCAAAAATAGGTAGAATAGCTTCTGATGAGGCAAGTTAACATGTTTCCAAAGGATCAGGGACTTCCCTGCACTGATTTCAGTGGCCAGGAAAAGATTCTCCAGATACAGGAGAGATTGTCAGATTATCCACTTGTACTCCAGACAGCTGCTCCTCATTTATATATTTCTTTTCCTTGCTATATTCTTATTTTTTCCTTTCTTTTCTATTTTCCTCCCTATTATTATATTTTCCTTTTTTCTTCACTTTTTCTTTTCTTTTTGTAGCTTAAATTAGTTTTAATGTTTAACTATAATGTTCAATAAAATTATTATCAAATAATAGAGGAAGAATGATTTGTCTTCTATTTTTCCTTAGCCAAAGAGCTTCCTGTTTCAGTTGGATGGAAACACTATTGACTTGAACAGCTGAAAATGCAGAGAGTTTATAAATATTTATTTGGGATATCCTTTCAGCAGCTTAGAAAGAACCCTTGTTACTGATCAGTACCTGATAAGACTTAATTTACACATCTGAAAGCTTTCTATTATTACTTCATCTAACAATGTAAATTGCTTCAGATATGACTCCAAGAGCATCCAGTAACTGAGAAATCCACTAACAGATTTGTCCCTGTGATGCCCAGGGACTACTGCAGACACATCGAGTAGAGCTCAGCCTCCCTGAACCTGAAGCCTATATCCAGAACTTCAACTCCCAGAATTCCTTGCCAATAGGACCTTGGGCTATTGTCTGAAGTGATTTTGTGTCCCAGTATGGACAGTAAATAGGTGGAAACGCAATATGAGAGGAAACCTTTTCCAAGAGGTGCCCTATTGTAAAGTAGGAGCAGAACTTTGTGGTGGCAGTTCTTCATTTTTGGAATTCCTTTCCCCAAAGAGCTTGTTCTGGTGCCAAATGTGTTGACTTTTCAGTAGTAGGCGAGATGTTTATATTCTCCCAGGCATCTTAATCCATGCCTTGATTTATAGCAAGTTGTGTTTAGAAACATTTCATTCTAGCAGCTGCTTTCATTATTTTAATGCTGCATGTTTAATTGCTTATTTTAATTATTTTGTAATGTTGTACAGCTTTACTTTGCTGTGAGCTTCTGGGATCTTCTGGGAAAAGAACATTTAAAAATTGGCAGTTTCTTCGGCAAATTATTCCCCCTACTCCTTATTTTCTGCCCATGCTGATGTACTTTTTTTTTTTTTTTTTAACCAAACGTCTTTCCAAAATGATGCAAAGAATCCCAGGCTTTCAGACTTTATTTTTATTCCTGCCATAAACAAAATGCTTCGTCTTCTCCACCCGCCATCTCTTCCCCTATCTTCCTCTGGCAACACTAATTAAAACATTATATTAGCCAAAGGCGTTTTTAGGCCTGTGGGGGCTTTGATGGAATATGTGATTTTGTTGTTAGCACGGCTTCTATGAACTGTCAAGCAGTTTGAAAAGGAAGGCGTGGGTGCAGTTGAAAAAAGAGGTTTGAAGTTTTGGAAAGCTTGCCTTTCATTGTTTTTAAAAGTGTCATCTTTCTTCAAAGCATAACCTAGCTTTTCTGTTCTTGAACGTAATATTTCTGCCACACTGTCTGCTTATGGCCCTTTCCGTTCACACCACCCCTCCCACTTTCCTATAGTAACTCATCCTTGAGGAAGACATGCGTATATATACTGAGAGCAGTTAGTTCCTCTGACACTTACAACGTATGTTTTAATTGTAAATGAGAGGTTGGTTTTGGCGGTTTGTTTTAAAGTTGTTATTTTTTTTAAGATACGTTTTGGATTTCTAAGTGACATTTAGCAATGACATCTTACTTAAATAGCAAAAACTTGCTATTTAGGAAGAGGAAATGATTTCTATAGAAGTGGAGGAAGTAGAAAAACAGGTTGGTCTTGCTTTCCAAAAGTAAATAAAAAGGAGCTGTCCAACATTGTTTAGTTAAAGAGCGTCTGAATAGCTCTATGGTTAAATACATGACCTTCTTTAAATAAATCCCCCCTCCACCTATGATGGATTAATGCCATAGCTTATTGGTTTAATAATAAGCTTGTTTCATTTCACTTCTTCCTCCCTACATCACAATAATGAGAGAAAAAGCCTATGGATAAAGACAGCCTGGCTTATTTATTCTCAGAGAGCAGTTTTGAATATTTCTGGCACTTTTATCAGCTATTATTATGGTGCACAGAGTTTAGAGGAGGACTGGTCAGGAAAGATTGGTTCAAAGCAGCCCTTTGAAGCAAATTGATGGAGAGAAGCTTTTAAATTATAAAGTGGCCATAGTGATCCACTATGGAAAAGGTTGAGGAAAAGGTTGGTCATCCCACTCTGTCCTCTAAAGGAAAAGCATAGTGGTCTTGCTCTTTCCTCAAGGCAGAATATATTATTTTGGTGTTGCAATGCATCATACCAAAACAAGGCACCTCTGCTTTGCACATATCCAATTAGGATGACTGTAACTGTTGTACTAAATTCTGGGCCCAAGAATTGGGGTCAAATTGCCAAATAAGCAAAGTCTAAGAGAGGTCTCCCCCTTAAGAAGTGAAGCAATCAAAGGATTCCTCATATATCAACGGTGGAATATTGAGTGTAAGGAAAAGAAAGCAAACTGGAGTAGAATGTTATAAAGAGAAGTATGGCTGCTCCAAACACTACACAAGTGTAACCTGGAGATGAATGTACACTATAGTTTCCTCACCAGTTTCCATTTGTGGTGATGCTTACATTTAATTTATATATTTGGCATATTTATATGGATGCCCATCTCTTGAAGGCATTCTGGGTGGCAAACATGTTAAAAACAGAGCCCATTTCACAATCAGTTAAAAAGATCCAGGTCAAGGATGGCCCATGAACCAACCCTACATTAAAGGGCCATAACCATTCTGCATCTATTCCTGGGAAATACTCAGATCTTCATGGCTTCCCAGAAGGTCAGCAAAGTTAGTATAGTCTAGGGGTAGGCAACCGTGGCTCTTTTATGACTCGTGGACTTCAACTCCCAGAATTCCTGAGCCAGCCATGCTGGCTCAGGAATTCTGGGAGTTGAAGTCCACGAGTCATAAAAGAGCCAAGGTTGCCTACCCCTGGTATAGTCTATATTGGATCAGTGTTTGCAACATTGTACAACAGAAATCCTTACATACAAGCTTGCAAAATAAGTCATTTGAGTTAGTTGTGCTTTGCAGATGTGATCAGGGGATGAAAGGGAGAGCATTGAGGCACAGAGGCTGCAGCTTGCTTAAAACTATCTAGTGGGCCTGTAGAGAAGGCATGCAGTGAACGGGGAGATTTATGGTTCGACATTCAGTTTCTTAGTCATGGCAGTATTCTTGCTCTGCTAATTAACTGACATTATTTCACTAATAGTGAGCAAATGTCTGCAGCCATTAGCAGTGCAGCCTCCTGTGAAATTGATTATTTGATTATCACTTTGTATGAGCTATGTGGCTAAACCCCACTGGCATTCTTTGAGAAGATAGTTGCAGAAGTTGGTGAATGGGCTGCCTCTGAGGAACAGAAATCACATGAGTATACTTGGCTGCCATCTTGATTTTACCTTATGGATATCTCTGCTTTTAAGAATGCAAGATGATCCTTCCTGGATCAGATATTTGATGTGACATCAAAGGGGTCAAGCAGGTGCTTCTGTGGTTCATCTCCAACAGCTATGAGTTGGGATCATTTTGTCTTTGATCTGACGGCTGCATCTGACTATCAGCTCTGTTAGTAGCCATGGATAGAGTTGACTTCCATTAATTTGTTTTGGTCCCTTTTAAAGCTATCTGAGATGTGATCATTTTGGGACACCATATTTTCTAAATCGTTCATGTCTCTTTCAAGGGATGTCTTCAAATTTTAGGCCTATGACAGAAAATCACTTTTTTACTCCATTTTCCATGTTCCATGGATCCTTTGCACAATTGTATATATCTTCACTCCTGTAGCATTTAGCAACATGTGTGAACTAACTCTATTACCCAAATTGATTTTTTTTTCCTGATAGTGTGACAGCTTACTTGTGTGACTTAATGGGACTATCAAGCATGCCAAATGTGAAATGATTTGAAAGAACATCATTCAAATGCAGACTGCATCCTATTGGATAGTAGTTGATAGAGAAAGATCTCAGCCTAGTCAGAGCTAATTTACTGTAAGTCCCAATATTGTGCAAACGTGCCTTAGATAGTATGTTTACTTTGTGATTATATGTATTCTAGAACTCAAGCAGGACTGAGTAAACTATGCTTGAGTAAACATGACTTTGCTGTTTGACAATATGGATGAAGAAAAACATACAGGAGTTGTAAATTTATATTGCACAAGAGGCCAGGACTATAACAAGTGGATTAAAATTATAAGAAAGAGGTTCGGGTTACAGATTAGGAGGAACTGCAGGATGCACATGAAATAATGAGTATTCATTTCCTTAAAGTTTTTAAACAAGCTGCCAGACATCCTCAAGTACCATAGCAAGTGGGAGGGGCAGTTGGCTGCTTCCAAGTCTATGAATAGCATCTTCCTGTAAACCACTGTGGAAAGTCCAAATTCAAACGCAATTTGTGTTGATAAGCATTTGAAAGATATACATTCTATAAACTGTATCTTGATAATCCCAAATCAGCTAGCTTCCAGATCTTTTCTGACAACAGATAAAGTGGTGGTTCTTCTATAATAAAGCCCCATTTCCAATTACACAATCATAAGAAGCGTTAGATAAAACACAGATTGTACGTCTTCTTAAAAAGCTGGCATTCCTAGAGACACACCTACTTTCAGGTAAAGCCAGAATGTTCAGACCTTTACACAATACCTGCAAGACAACTTTATGGTACCTATATTTGTGTGTGGGGCAAGTGGGATAGAAGAACCCTTAATTACAGCACCCCAGAGGGCAAAGCCTACTTCCTTTGGACTGATTTTGAAAAGCTAAGCAGAATCAGAAGCAGCGCCACCGCCGGTACGTTCGTTCCTTCGGCCGTGTTGGACCATTCAGACATGCAAAAGCCTCGCTGGAGGTTGAAGCCTCCCGGGCGCTCAACGCGTGAACTAGCTTGCAGCTGACTCTTTGCCTGCCCCACCCCCGAGCGCAGAGCATCACCTCGGCTTCGACCTGCTGCGCAGCCCAGTTCTTGGCAAAGCCAGGCCGCGGGAGCCGGAGGAGCGACACAGATCGCGCTGCGCGGCCCGACGCTTCTCTTTTAAATTTGGCGACAGGCGAGGCGCACCTTCCCGCGGCGAGCACGTGACGCCCGGGGAGGCGGGGCGAGCGACCCGGAGAGGCAGGCGGCGGCGGCGGCGGCGGTGGCGGCAGCAGGGCCGGAGGAGGGAAGAAAGGGAGGCAGCGCCGGGCAGAAGGAGGGCAGCGGACGGAGGCGTCGCCTTTAAATGCTCTCGGCCGGGCGGTGGCGCGAAGGCAGCGCGTGTGGAGCCTCCGGGCGAGGGAAAGAGAAAGCGCTCCGATGCGCCCTGGACCATGAGCAGCCCAGCAGGCTCCGTCGCCCTGCGGGACACCCTCGCCGCTCTCTGAAGCCCTTCTCCGGCTGATGCTTCCTCCCCGCCAGCATGTCCCGGCGAAAGATCTCCTCGGAATCCTTCAGCTCGCTCGGCTCGGACTACCTGGAGACCAGCCCGGAGGAGGAGGGCGAGTGCCCCGTGGCCAGGCTTCTCTGGAACGGCAGCCGGAGCCCCGCTGCCCAGTCCGGGGCTACCACTCCGGTGGCTACCGCTCCTCCGCCGCCTCCGGAGGCTTTGGCGGCTGCGGCGGGTCCCCCTGGCCCGGCCCCCGCGGGCTCTCGGCGGGTTCCTCGCAGAAGGCGGGTCAACCTCGACTCCCTGGGCGAGAGCATCAGCCGCCTCGCCGCCCCCACGGTAAATGCGCCTTTTCGGGCCGCCGCGATCGCTGTGCGGGCCAGCCAGCCAGGTAGGCAGGCAAGGCAGGCAGGCAGGCAGGTAGGCGAAGCGGTTGGCGGGATGCCTACGCGCCCACCAGGAAGAGGAGGCTGATCAGGAGGAAAAGGAGGTCGGACCTCTCCACCCGGCGGGGCTGTTTTGGCGCTGGGCGCTGGACACGCGGGTCGAAGAAGCTCTGTCGCCGTCGGAATCTTCCAACCTGGGCTCGCTGCGGAAGAGGAGCGCTCGACCCGCCATAGACATTCCGTAGCACCCCGCCCCCCGCTTCGCCCACTCTTTTCGCGATGCGGACTTTCAAAGCGCGGCCACAGGTTGTCCCTGGCGCAGGTGTCGCCTTACCCGCTCCCTTCGCCCCCCCCCCTCTGCACCGCTGCCGATCCTCCCGAATCAGTTGAAGGGACTTCCTTTGGTTCCAGATGTTTGGGCATTACTCTTCCTACAGATTCCCACCAAAGTGGTCGGAAACATCAGGAATTTCCAGACCCTTCCAAGCGGCTTCATTCAGAATTTAGAGTCATTTCGGAGGATTCCCTTCTCATTTAAGCCTCTTGGTTTCTTAACGGAATTTTCCAAAGGCTGCCCCCCCCCCAATAACCTCCTCTTTTTTGTTGCATTTTCTTTGTTTCTCTCTAACTGCACACCAAAAAAAAGAGTTCCTTATGGGAGGAAAAAAAAGAGGGAATAAATATCACCTTTAACTGACACCTTTTAATTTGCAGCATTAAGTGCCTCCAGAAGACACACAAGGCGAGGAGGAATGCAATTCTGCTTCTGTACTTATTCCAAAATATTCGGTTTTTCTATTGCTCCCCTACCATCCTAGTGGAATTATTCTCTTGAGAAATCTCCCACACAAGCCCTACAGAAAAAGAACAGAAAGAAAAGAAAGCCTATAAGTTCAGACAGAGTTTTTTTTTTAATGAATACTTGTGGCACAGGAGTATTACTGTTTCACAGACTCCCCCCCTCCCAAGCTTCTATTCTGCACAGAAGCTTTCCAGAGAGCTCTATAGAGTTTTTCCTTGGTCTTCCTTTGCTATTTGCAAGACTCACAATGGCCTGTGAACGGTATTCCAACATTCCGTTCTCTGATTCTGCTGTGACACATATAATCTGACTCAGACGTTTGTGTTTATTTTCTTACCATGCTCTAGTGTTCTTATGAGAACACTGAGAGAACATGGCTTAGATGTTTACTTCCCATGAATCATCTTCCAATAGAATATAGTCCTTCTTTTCCTGTTTCCAAAGTTTATTTCACTTCTTTGGTCCAAGGGCTTGTTCCAGTTTCTCATACTTCTCATCAAAGGTAACTTAAGAATTTTCTCTACCCAACTTCATTCTTTATCCCATAATTGCTAGTTTCTGCTCATTTCCCCTGTCTCTCCAGTCTTGGCTGCTAATCCTTTCATTTATCGGTACATCCCTTTCCGACAGCGATCTTGGAAGTACTCTAATTCAGCTTGATCCTTTCCAGCTGTGGAGTCTTGTTGGGATGCCCTGGCTTCTACTCCTGACTGGAATTATGTTTTTTTCCCACCAGTAAAAAGTTTAAAGATGGAAAAGTAATTTGTTTCCCTTTATCTCTTGGCTATTCCATATTGTTTCTTCCAAGCTGCTTTGAGTTCTGAATTTGTTTGTTTTTCCTAGGGAAAGAAATAGCCAAGTACAGCTTGGTTACATACTGCTTTGCTTTATGTAATGTCATCAGTTTAGCCTGTACTCCCTAGAGATGTGCATTAGTCTCCTGAGAAAACTCCCATGCATAAGAAACTGCTCTTTGCTCCTTTAATTGCCATAGATTAAACTTGTTCATTGCAACTCTTGTAATTTTGCTCAACAATATCTGAGGGTTCCCACCATTTTAGCCCAGCTATTGGTTATTCTTGTGGCTGCAAGACTATGTTATAAAAAGCCAGTATGATGATTTTTAGAAGATACTACAGGAATCTCATCAAGATAGTAAAGAACCATAGGAAAGATTCTAGTTCCTAAGTGAGGCATTATCTAGAATGCAAAAAAGGAAGAATCTAAGAAATTAACATAATAGCTTTGCAGGAAGGAGATAAGGAAAGTCCTGGTCTTAGATTCCTAAAACATGGAACTTGAGAGGAATTCTGGAAGGAGTCATTATTTGGAATTAGTAAGTATTTATGCTCCTTCCAACCAAATGCAGGAGTAAAATGCCAGGCAGTGTCCCCCCACTTTTCATACTCTATTTAAACATCTCCTCCCCACTTCCAATCCCTTTTACCAAAAGTTAGCTGGTTTTCTGAGTCTGCTGAATATGTTTTAATTCTCATTGAGTTCCTGTGGGGTTTTTCCTTGCGATCTGTGTTTGGGTGTGCATAGAATATATGTATGTGTTGTGTATGTGTATGTACTATATACTATATGTACTACATACACATTATGTTCATATGTGTGTGTGTGTGTGTATACATGCATGTATGTATGTATGTGTGTGTAAACCCATCCATCCATCCATCCATCCATCCATCCATCCATCCATCCATCCATCTATCCATCCATTCATCTCCATCCATCCAGGTAGAATATAAACAGCTGGAGGAGGGCAATTCGGAGTAGGGAACTGGGAAATGTTTCTGCAACATTTCTCCTAATAAGGACTATCATAAGGGCTAAAAAATAAAATAGTTACAATTATACGTCACCTATACATAGTTCCAGAATCTGTTTTCAGTTATATAATTCAACCCTGGGATATGCCACTGCCTTCTTAGTAAAAGCCATTCTATCACTATTGTAAAGAGTTAGAACAAATGATAAAGCTATGGGGATTAGTTTAATGCTTGGTGCCTGTAGTCATCTGGGCAGGGACCAGATTAGCCCCAGTTTAATGTCTCTCTCCACCCCAAAGTTGTCATGCCCTTTTATGGTATATTACTGAGAAATCCGCCTTTACTGTACTTGAGGAATATTCAACAGTTTTTTGGTTTGATAGGAAACTTGAAACCAATCATATTAGAGCAATGGTATATATTTTGATGCTCTGACAATGAAAATAAAAACCTTTGTAGATAACTGCGCAAAAAGAATGGTCATCTTGGATAGCGATCCATAGTGCATCCATCATCTTCCATTTTATTTTGTGAAGCTTATTGCATACTATTTTATGAAGTGTGCAATATGTTAAAGGTGAAATTAGTACCTGTGAAAACTTTGAATCAATCTCAGTTGGGATTGAGGTTTTTTTTTTAAAATAAATCTATGCAATATCGATACATGTTGATCGATGGTGTCCAGAAGTGCAGATGTGACTTTTCCCTGCAGTGTTTGGATTTTCACATTATTGAACAATGCATGGTCTTTCCATGACCAACAGATCATAGATATTTACTTTAAGAGGTTCACTGATGTTTCATTCTGTTTTAGAATAATTTGTTTTGGAGGTAGTAAAATTATGAGGGTGTCAAAATTTTTCTTTTGAACATGGATAGAAGCCATTATATATGCCTGCATGGGTCAGATGCCAACAGTAACAAGTTGATAGCTTAATTCTAATTTCTGACTTCAGGCAGACGTATAGTAAATTATATTACCTTTACTCCCTTCCCTTCAAATATAATGGCATTTATACTGAAGTTTATTTTTAATGTTGACTTTTAATGAAATGTTTTTAGATGAGCTTTTTAAAAAAACTAGGCCACAAGGAAATTTTCAGGCAGTGAAATTTGGATAGTCCCATGTGGAGTGTGATTTGGCCAAAAGATATTAGAAATATTTTTAATGCCAGATATTAGAAGTGTTTATTTCAGAAAAGCTGGGTTGAATGGATCCATGCATGCTATTTTTGCTAGAGCTGAGAGATCGCTGTATAAAACAAGCTTATATTCTATGGCCCAATTTATTGCCTTTAAGTGATAGGAATCTATGTGATTTGTCAACTGTAACCAACTTCCCGATATTTTGAAAAGATTTGTATCTGAGCTTGGTTGCATTGTTAGCCTATCAAAGGAAAGGGTTCCATTTTGCTTTTGACATTTTCATTCTATTCATGATGAAAAGTTTATATTCAATAGGGTACATCAGGAAAGATAAGGAGAATTACCAATGAGCTGAAGAGAGAGAAGATTTTCTTTATACGCCTGTTAGATAGTTCAGTATAAATAGAATGTCATTAATTTGTTTCCCTCTTTCTGCATAGGCAGAGATCCATAGCTGAAGAATCCCAACTGACCTTTGTCATATTTTTGAAAAATAATTAAACTGCTTAATAAAAAAAGCAATGGCATAATTTCAGTGATTTTTGAACAATATATTTAAAGAGATCTGAAGAAACTTATTGTATTATTTCAAGTTCTCTAGCACTTACAGATTTAGTAATTATATTTTCACACATTGGGGGATCATTAAGCTAATTGTAACGTGATGATTTTAGAGATAGATGTAGATTTTCATATTCTGGGGAATATTTATATTTTACTGGTAATCTGATAAAACAAGCACAGATTAAGTCAGGAGCATTCCATTAATAGTTATGGTCTCTTAGTCTTTTTCTTGTTCTACTTCTCAGATTATAAATTGATTTTTCACATTAAGACTGAAACCACAGGCTTCTATAGCCTTTGTTTACAAGCCACTAACGTAAAGGTTTAGCTATTGCAACTTTGTGTCACTAGAAAGATTTCTTGGTATAGTTTTTCATTACATTTAATAATGATTTTTTTAGTTCTTTCATGTCTTAAAATTGCTTTATATGCTTACTGTAGTTATGAGTGCATAAAGTAAGCCATTTTTACTATTATTTGCCACCAATATTAAAATATAAAGCATCAAGCTGCTAGTTGTGATCCTGCTTTAAAGGGCAAACCTTAGCCTAGGTTGCATATTTGGGAAAATTATGGTTCGTAGCAAAGAGAAGGTGGCTAATTTTGGACTGTGTGAAATGATGGAAAAATAAGAGAAGGAAAATTCAACTTGAGTTTGTTCATGGC